ACCTTAGAAAATACAATCAGTTTCTATGATGGTGAACATTGAGAGAATTATAAAACAAAAATGCCTCTAACCTGTAAGACCCACTTGCCCAATGCAGGTAACTTCCAGAATGCTGGGGGCTATTCTTACAATTGCCTGGTCTTCACAAACCCTGCGCTTTCCCTTCTGTGAACAAGCTTGCTTGCCCAGGAGTGCACATAGGCAGGAAGTATGTGCCTTGTGACGTTTGTCCTTACACACCCCGGACTAACATAATTCGGTGCTGCGTTTTGAAAGTGCTCTCTGATGCAGTCCTGCTGGCAGTATTTTTATGGTCTGGGCTTGTTCAGAGATTCGCCATTCTGACCAAGAATAAATGTTAGTTAATGAGAGGCTTTGTCAAACACTGACCCGGTACGTACCCCTGATTCCCAGAGTAAGGCTTTAATTCTTCATTCTGTTGTTCTTGGATACTTTGTGATTGTTTGGGGGCCTGAGCGAACAGGATAAAGGCTAAAGACAGTTCTGCTCCCTGCCCTGGCAGTTTGGTTGCAGTGAGCCTCTCACTGATGGCTCCGCTCCTGGGAACTACTTCAGCAGGCATTTGAGAGGCCAGTACAGACCGCCACCGTGAACTTCAGGTCCTGTGTGACAGATTCAGATCCGGTGCTGGTGGTGTAGCAGGTACCGGGCGGGCTGACTGGACATAAGTTCTCCCATATTGGGAATGCCTAAGAATTCCAAGTTTTGAAGGGAAGGTGGTTTGTCACTTGATGTATTTCACCGAAGTTAATGGCTATCTGACCTAGTTTACATCCGAGGTTGAATAATGGAGAAAAATCCTTCCACTATACAAATTTACACCCGAACAAAATTGCTATTCAACATGCCTGGAGTGATTTTTTTTCTGATTTATTGAACAATTTACAATTATATTGTGAAAATTCTATTATAAAACTATTGAATGGCTGTTATCCAAGATGGAAACAGTCACAGAATCTAGGCTGTGGCCTACACCAATCAGAACACATTTAGGCACTGCAATTCAAAGTCACAGTAAAGTTTTATTTCTATACACTTTCCTGTTAGTGCAAAAAATATTTTCACTTTGATAGAAACAGCAATGACTTTAGATGTGTAATTCTATGTTTTAAGGATAATAATTGACAGGTTTTTTTAAGTAACTGAATTTAACATGTCTTTTCCTTCTATTTTGCTTTTGTAATGCCCAGTTAGCATTGAATGACATCACTGAGAAAAATGTATCTGATACCATATATGATGCAGTTCATTTCTGATGAGTCTCCAGCCATCGGTTGATGGCCATTTTCAGAGTCCTGTTTGGTGTCAGTACCAGCGAAGGAAGAACCAAGTTTGTCATGGGGCTTGTGCGTTTCTTTTTGTGGATCCAATTTTCCATTGCTTCTCTCTCATAGGAATAGCCATCTGGAAGAAAAAAAAATTAATTATTTGAAAAAAAGATCGGTAAACAAATCGTCATCTTACTTTGCCTGTACCATGTCTAAAATACCTCTTCCACAGCAGATGGCTCGTCCCCCGGAAGGTGTACTAAGGCTGGGTTGTGCTGTGTCAGAACACAACAGCCGACGTCAGAAACTATGCTCGAATGAAGATAAATTTTGGTAAGGTAGAGGGAAGAAAAGAGCCTTAATGATAACCCAGCGAAACTCTTCCAGGTAATGAACAGCACTGGAGTTAGAGACGACAGAATACGACCAGAACAGATGGTTCTGAGCTGAGCGGTTTGCTTTCTTTGACATGTGTGGTGAACAATGGGACGCAAACTTGTGGGCCCCCAGGAGGGGAGACCAGTGTGAGCTTGGAGTTCCTGCTCCACTACTTTCACTGCTGAGCTTGCACTGTTTTCCCCCAGGCTGAGATGCTTGCTTCCCTCCCTATGCTAAATCTATGAAACCTGCATTTGTTGAAAACAGAAAACAGAACCATCCTCCTGCCTCCCCATGGGAACATGACAGCCTTGCATTCATGGGGCTTCAGCCGTGATTACACTTTTGTTGACACTTCAGCTTTGTACGGCTAATAACTGTGTAGTTGTACATGGTGTGTAACCCTTCTGTTGAAAGAAGCAAATCTGAACAGTTTCTATTTTGTGGGTATTCTCAACACTGCTGTCTGTGCCCAGCTTCTCCTGTGAACCTGGACACGCACACCTAGGAGTTATAACATAGGTATAAGTTTTGGGAAACTGCCAAGTTTATCTCAACAACAGCCATAGCATTTTAAATTCTCACCAACGACATAAGACTCCATTTTCTGTCCATTCTGCCAACACTTATTTTCCCCAACGCTTTGAGACTAAGCCATCAGCTAACATGGCTGCAGTGTGGCTCTGAGTTGTGAGTTGTATTCCACTGATGACCATAATGACACTGAGCATGCTGCCCAGTTGTAAGGCGGTTTATTCAAACTATCTGCCTTTTTCTTTTAGACATGATTCCACTATGTAGCCCAGGCTGACCTCAAGCTTGCAGCCATCCTCCTACCTCCCCACCACTGGAATGACAGGCATGTACCACCATACCCTGGTTATTCGCCCACTGCTAATGACCAAATGTTGAGTTATAACAAGAGTTTAAGAAAAACTCCATTCTGTTGTGAAAGCTGAAGTTGTTAACACCCCGTTCACTGATTAGCAGCAGTAAGGTTTGTGCAGTTTGGTGTCTCTACTCAGTACCGCTGACAGGTCCATGACTAATTCCTGTGCCCAATAGGCCAGAGAAATGTGTTAAATGTGTTTTAGCTTAAGTAAAGGACCTTTAAAATCTCCTGTCATCTGCTGCTGTAACAGAACGCTTTGTGTTGCCTCTTGTGTACACAGTTAGCATCTATGGAGGCTTTGCATTCAGACAGAAGCTAAACTTTCTGTTTTTAAGTTTTGAGTCCGCTCTTGCTGCTGTTCTGGTCAGAGGTGTGAACAGTCTGTCACTGCTTTCTCCTCCCACTGCCTGGAGCTGCTGCTGGCAACTACGCTGGCCATGCTCACCAAGAGGCGAGGTCCACGGTTTTAGGCAGCGTTCTTGTCTTCTGTTTTCTTGGGATCTGGATTCTGGCTCTTAAGACCCCTTCACTTAGCGGCAACTGTCTTGTTTCAGACTACAGGTAGATTATGCTGAACTTAACTTTATTTCTATGGTCACAGATTCTTTCACTATGGAAACTGCTTTAGGAATTTATTGCTTCTTCCTCCTTCCCCTGCCTCTTCTTAGACAGGGTTTCTTTTGTGTAACAGTCCTGGCTGTCCTGGAGCTCAATGTGTAGATCAGGCTGGCTCAAACTCAGAGATCCGTCTGCCTCTGCCTCCTGAGTGCTGGGATTAAAGGTGTACACCACTACTAGGCAGCAATTTCTTTTGACCTACTGGTTACATTTTTTTCTGTTTGTTTGGTTTTCTCTGTATAACAGTCCTGGAACTCCTTTTGTAGACCAGGCTGGCCTGGAACTTACTAAAATCCACCTGCCTTTGCCTTCCAAATGATAGGATTGAAGGTGAGCACCACCACTGCCCAACCACTTTTTTCTTTAAAAGGAATAAAGACATTATAAGATAGTGTCCATTTGGTTCCTATTTATGATATAAATTCCTACATCCATATTTAATAAGTTTTCTTTTTTTAATATTTATTTATTTATTGTGTATACAATATTCTGCCTGTGTGTATGCCTTCAGGCCAGAAGAGGGCACCAGATCTCATTACAGATGGCTGCGAGCCACCATGTGGTTGCTGTGAATTGAACTCAGGACCTTTGGAAGAGCAGGCAGTGCTCTTAACCACTGAGCCATCTCTCCAGCCCTGTAAGTTTTCTTTAATAAGTAAGATTTTCATGTTCTCTCCTCTGGAGAGAGAGCCTGCCTCAGACTGAGAGGTTGAGGAAAACGTCATCTTCATATGTATTCACAGATGTCAGCATGCACACACACATTCACACACAACACAGGTTTCAAGCTGTCCTACCAGAGTCATCCCAAAGCAGAACCCCAAGGGTCACCACCAGAGTGTTCACACAGACCACACTGCCTCCCAGAAAACCAAGTCCCTGAAGAAAGGCTACTAAAAACAGGTGCAGCTGTTGGTTTTTCAGTTAAATTTACATAAGAAGTGAAATACAATATGTAATTGAGCTCAAACATGTCACTGGGGAAAACTTGTTTATTTTCACTACATGTAAAGGTTTCATCTTTCATGTGTGTACAGGTTTGAGGGACATACCCAGCAGGCCTGATACAAGCAAGGCAAGTGTTACCATGGAGTTATATCCCCAGCCTTGACCTAAGACTCTAAGCTTTCCACAGAATGAAGACCTGGGGCGGACTGCTCAGTGGTAACATACTTGAAGACCCCAGTTTGGATACCAAGAACCATGTAAAGCCAGGTGTAGTCAGGCACAGCCATGCTCCTATGGTGAGATAGGTGGAGACAGGAGAAGCCACAGAAGCTTGGTGGACACAGCTGAGGAAGAAGAAAGGTCGGGACCAAAGGTCTGAGGCTGTCCTCTGACCTTTCATGTATTCACATGTACAACACGCGCCCACACAGAAGCGCTTGGCTATTTAAATGGGCACGCTCCCATCTTGTTTCTCCATCAGTTACTGATTTGTGTAAGTATGTGTGTGGAGGCTGGAGGACAGCTTGCAGGAGCTGACCTTGTCTTTCACCAAGTGGGTCCTAGAGGTCAAACTCAGGTCATCGGGCTTGGCCAGCCATATCCCAATTTTCTATTTTGTATGTTCCTATTCCTAGAATGAAGGTACTTCTAAGAGGGATGGCTGACATGCATGCAGGCTTAACACTGAAAAGTTGAAACTGACAGATTCCAACCTATGTTTTTCTAATGAATCTATGAAAGCACCGTGGAAAATATTTAATACTCAATATGCAGCTGATAGCACTTCATTATGAAGGAACTATGATGTATATTCACCCTGTACATCAGGCTGACTTTATGAGGTCATGCAGCTAGATAACAGTACTGGAATGTAAACCCAGGCAGCCTGGCTCCAGGTCTATAATGATACTCTACATGCTACATGCAACTTTGGGGAATGACTCAGTAAATGAAGTTTTTAGCACAGTCTCAGTGGGCAGAGAACAGTGTCAGCAGAGCAGTCGCTGAAGGTCAACAGGAAAGGTGGAAGGGACCAAGACACCTGACGGTTTCCCATAAAAACGCCACTCAAGAGAACAATTGCATGCCAAAGACCAAAGACATGCCTTAAAGCAACACACAGGAACTAATTCAGTGTACATGAACTCAACTGGAGTATGATTCCCCAATGCGGACGCTCTGGATAACAAGCAGAGTGGCCAGACCTGGGATAGCAGATTCTTAGTATCATGAATTCTGTGCATGAAATTAACTTTTTAGAAAAATCAGTGTCAGTAAATTATGAATGAAACAGGCCCAAAAGGAAAGGGACCCAGCAGAGGGTACCTGACCAGTGCCGAGTTACCAGTTTTACATTCACCCTAATCTTTCACAAGTTCACAATCCTAGATACAATATCAGCCTTTATCACATAAGAAAAGGGATCCAAGACTTAGTAGAGGGCAAAAATGAACAAGCTATATTAAAACTGAGCAAAAAGGCAAATGACTGAAAAACTTATATTTAAGTGAAGTAGTGATGCTTATCAGGACTTTAAAAAAAAAACAAACCAGTGTTTTAATTCCCAAACTAAGAACGGAAGGAACTTCCTTCACTTGAAGGAGGGCAGCAAACACTGACCGAGGGCTGAAAGTCAGGATGCTCTTCCTCTCGGGGAATCTCATGGTAAAAATGTCTGTTCTCCTTGTCTCTGTAACTTTATTGTTGGCTTGTGTGACCAGAAAGAAAGAAGCTGCAAGTGAGAAAGGAGGAAAAGGCAGCTGTCTCCTGGCACAGATGCGATCCAAGTTAGATGCAAAGCAAACCTACTCCTACGCCTGTTATGAAGCTGTTACCAATGGATGTAGCAGTCACAGGACATAATGCCAATATACCAAGCCCAGTCCTATTCCCACATACAACTGCAATAAAGTGTAAAACCACAGTAGTAGAAAATACCAAGAAATTTTAACAAAAGAAAAACTGCAAAATCTATACAGCAAAACGGCGTTACTAGGAGAGAAA